TCTTATGGCATGTAGTTCTTATGGAGGGTAAACCCCATGTTGGGAATCGAACCCGGGTTTTCAGCATGACGAGCGGACGCTTTAACCATTAGGCTACACGACCGCTCCCTATTATTCGATGCTGATTATTCCATGATTATAGTCATGCAGCTGTGCGTTATGTCTGGTTGAAAGTGTATATATTTTGTCTATAGTTTTGTTTTCACAGAACATATTTGGCTAATCGACATCTTTGCTGTCGTTTAGCAGCTGGATACACGTATCGTTATAATCCTGCATTAATCATCTGTATCATTTGTAGTCAGTTACAGGTGAATGCTAGATAATTGCAATACCTGACTGAGTTAAAGATAAACTCATCAGAAACATGTACCCCAATTTTTTATGCAAGAGCATTATTATTTATATTTCCCCCCGTCTGATGCATAGTTATTTTTTTAAACATATTCTGGGACAATCAATTTGGACTTTTTATATTAAAAAATCCCAGACTCTCATTTAACACAAAAAGAACTGCAATCACATTTCAAAAGAGTAATTTGTAGGAATTGGTAATTTATTATAGGGCTGGGTTTGCTGACAAATATAATTGCTGATAAATTATATCGTCTAGTTTAAAAAGAATATGTTGACATCAAGAGGTGCCCCCGTTTCGCTTGATTCTTCTTTTTCACCTTCATTGGACGTTTCTCATGCAAGGTGTAACATCGGCTCGTACTGATACGATTTAACATCCATGTCAAAAAATGACACCGTGAACATCTTTTTACTGCTTCAGAATCCATCGACACTGTTAAGTTGAAGCCATCGGCAATAGGCACATATGATGTCACGTGATACCCGCTACTGCTCATTAACTGTCGGGTGTTTCCGTAATAGGCGGAAATACGAGTGCGTTGTTTACGTTTCTATTGCCATGTTAGAAACTTTTTCGTCAGTTTTAATCAAGGAAGGTGACTTTTAGGATGCTTTTACTCCTATCAAAAATAAAATGGCGTTAGTATTTTCCTTTAACTTACAAAGGCAACGCATGAAAGTACGATCCGAAAGCTTAATGCTGCCACTTTTGTAGTGTAAAATATTTTAGCAAATTTTCACGAAACTTCAAGTATTTCTCGTTGCTTAAATTCATTTTTAAAAGAATTTTGAAGTAACGCAAAATTTATAGAAATTTCAAATTTTTGACCGAAACTTGGAGTAACGAGAAAGTACTCGAAGCAACGAGTAATTAATCGAGGTAACATGAAAATTATCCAATTAACGAGGAAATATAATATTGAAATATGTTATTCAAATGTCTAATGGGGTGGAATAGATCCAGCCCTGATAAGTATATCTTAAATCTTTGGGGACAATTAGTTAGATATAATGGCGTAATTACATGTTTGGAGACAGGCAAATAACTGCAGTTTGGAAAGCCAGGATGTGGTGTTCGTATGGTAGATGATGAAAAACAGGGACATGGAACCTCAACGCCATATTTAGCTTCGAATTCGTGCTTTTTCAACTCTTGTACGTGAAAATCGGGTTTTGAACTTATCTTCAGCAAGATTTGCTTGTCGTAAGAGGCGACTAACGGGATCGGGTGTTGAGACTCCCTGACTTGGTTGATGCACGTCATTGTATCCCAGTGACGTAGATCAATGCTCGTGATATCAGTCACTGGATTAACTGGTCCATACTGGATTCTTTATAGACCGCCGTATATAGCTAGAATATGACAGTGTGCAGCGTTAAACATTCCAAGAAAGAAAACAACAACAAAGCCCGAGATAGATATCTTCAGAACGCGACAATGTCGTTTACATTGTTCTGTAAGATATATTCCCAGCAAGTACTGGATTTATCCCCTGGGCACGTGTGAATACGTCACGTGGTAATGGTGATATCATCTATCAGCTTCATAACGCCTTGGGGCGTACTGCCGGATACGTAGGCTCTGTCTCACTTCCAACAACGATCTATGCAAATACATAGTGTGATATGTTTGAAGGCGTTATTTAAAGCCACTTGTCAAACAGGAATGTATGTATGTATGTATGTATGTATGTATGTATGTATGTATGTATGTATGTATGTATGTGTGTGTGTGTGTGTGTGTGTATGTATGTGTGTGTGTGTGTGTGTGTGTGTGTGTGTGTGTGTGTGTGTGTGTGTGTGTGTGTGTGTGTGTGTGTGCGTGTGCATGCATGTATGCACGCATGTATATATGCATTTTTTGCCTTTCCAAGCACTGCGAAATACCTTCCTTAAGTGGCATCACTGCGAAATATATGATGGACTAGCTATCTAATATGTAATCAGCTCAATTTCCCTGAATTCTAAAATTAAAATATGTAAACGGGGTTATTCACCCTTTGTTCTCAGGGATTATCGCGCTCCACTGATGTAGAACCTTTAAACAATAGGTGCCGGACAAGTGAGAAGACCCCTGTAAATGTATTGAAAAACAACTGCAGGCCGCCTGAGCCTATTGATCTGAGGGAACGATGATAGGGTGCGCTACCACCTAAGGCTATAGACAATGTGTTTAGACGAACTCCCCGGCGGGTAGATCTTGTCGCGATACACATCATATTAAGTGGTCGGCGACAGTTATCGTGTGTATTCAATTTATACGTCACATTTCGATAGCAGCTCGAAATTACACCACTGACACAATACACATGAGGTGTGATTGTCCAGTCACATATCTGAACATCTCTACATCTGCATGTATATACCTCGTCCCTGGGTAGATCGTACACTTGGCCATTGCGTATAGACATCGCTGTGTTAAGGTAAGACAATGTGAGCCTGTTGGATAGCGTTGCCATTTACATTACTTCGTTATTCTGGCAAAGTCAAAAATAACAGTAATATATTGTGAATATATGTTCCACCTGTTGGAGTCGCTATTTAACAGTGCTTCGTCATTCTGTTGAAATCACAATTTTAATTATTTTACGTAGCCAATATAGAGAGAGAGTGAGAGAGAGAGAGAGAGAGAGAGTGAGAGAGAGAGAGTGTGTGAGAGTGAGAGTGAGTGAGTGTGTGAGAGAGAGTGAGAGAGAGAGTTAGAGAGAGAGAGAGGTATAGTTGTTGGTGTTTCAGTTTTTGTTAGTTTGATTTCAGCAATATTTCAGCTAAAAATAATTCTACTCATGTGAATTCAGTTGGATTCATCAGTTTGACATTTAGTTGAGATGAAATGGGGGAAATATTGTTGCACTCAAGAACACAACACTGTAGAAAGAGAGAGAGAAAGAGTGCATGAGAGAGAGAGAGAGAGAGAGAGAGAGAGAGAGAGAGAGAGAGAGAGAGAGAGAGAGAGAGAGAGAGAGAGAGAGAGAGAGAGAGAGAGAGAGACGTATAGTTGTAAGTCTGTTAGTAACCAATAACAAATGGTGGCTGTATATTTTTAGAATGGGGATTCAGGCGGCAAAATCCTTTAAACGACAACCGGAACAGTTCTCCAAATTCCACACTCAGCTGATTTATTCATTCAATCGACCTTGAGGATATATATTAACCTCGGATGTCTTCTCACGTCGGGTAGTGCGTCTCTACCAGGGCGATCCTACTTCAATGGTGCTATTGGTTGACCCAGGGCATATCCGAAACCAGGTCTTGAGCTCCAATAACAACTATCGCCCCAGAGGCAGATCTTTGTGATAACAGAACTGCTGCAGCCGTCGTAACATGGACATACTGCTGTTGCCCAGCAAAGCAAGATCAGACATATTTCCATGGATGTTTTCAGTGAATTCAGAAATGTTAGTTATGTTTAGATGTAACTGGCATGCTTGTGGTTAAATTGAAGGCCCAGCTATTTCAGTCGGCGTGCTGTCACTGTAACACTGTGTGATGGACCGACATGCCAGCTACAACACATCAGAACATTTCCCCTAAACAATTTACGTCATCATAAGTGATGCAAATAAAGAACCTACCACGAATCATTATCTCCAATCCCATGTTTTTAATTAACTGACGTTCAAAAGAGTCTGAGTGAGTGAGTATGGTTTTACGCCGCGTTTAGCAATATTCCAGCAATATTCCAGCAATATCACGGCGGGGGACACCAGAAATGGGCTTCACACAATCTACCGGTGTCAGCCCACATGGCCTAAAATTATTCAACTAGGCAGGTAAAGTTCATTAGGCTATGTGGTCATTCATGTCTCACTGGTATTATGGGATTAGGTTGGATTATTGCTGGACTGGTCCATTATTGACCACAGGAGGGGTGAATCATAAGAATCAACAAAGCCCAAATATTCATATCGAAATCATTTGCAATGTTGTCAGTGAAATATTGAGAATTACCATTGAACTACATTTTCATAAATGTCACATATATACACAAAGGACTTAATTAACCACCCCCTGTATTTTTTGCAATTGAATTTTTTTCAAGACGTACATAAAACATATGTTATATTTGGGATTACACTTTCTTTGTAAAGTACAGATTCTAGTACTTTTGTTGAGTCCCATGCGGGATTCAAACCAACACCCTCAGAGTCAGGCACCTAATCGCCAGCACACAAAGTGTATAAAACTTGTCGTGGTGACCACGATGGAAAAACATTGTTTTGTTAGTTGGTTTGCGTCACTTACTGTGCACTCTTCTTTAAAAAGTAGTTATTTAATTTTAATTTTTTGTAAAAAAAAAAAAAAAAAAATGTTTGAGGGGGGGCATTCGCATTGTACATGTTTCCCCATAAAAATCACCTCACACACACGCGCGAGTGCAAGGACGCATGCGCGCACACACACACACACACACCTTTGCCATAAATTATGAACGGTTGGCGGTATATATTGAGCCTCACTACACCTAGCAAAGATACACAGCGTTCACTAACATCAATGTTCACTAACAGCGTTCACTAACACTACACCATCTGTTGACATCATTTTCTGTGCAAAATCTTTCTTCTGTCCAGGTGACCTTAAACCATAAACCCTCACAAATGTCAAAATGAGTCTTACACAATTTCTTCCAACTGTTTCAGCTGCTGTCCAACGACTATAGCCCAGCACGATACGGCCAAATAGTGAGGTCAGTCAGGAAAGCAAGTATGCGTGGATACATCACCCGGTCAAAGATTATAACAGTGTCGTGGTTGGCTTTGGCAGTAGCTGCTACTCTGTACATTGCTTCAGTCAGGAATAAGGGGACGAAACAAACTAGCATGGCGCTGAAGGAAACACAACAGAAAGATCAACAAGAAATTAAATCATTGTCAGCACAGAAGGATAAAGTTAGAACAAGCACAGATTCCCCGGAGCATGTGCTCCTTGTGCTTTTCTCCACGTGGATTAACAAACAGGGGAAAGAACACGTGCAGCGTAGCGTGCTTGCAACATGGCGGACCTGGGTGCCACAGATCAGACCTGTGTTGCTGACCGACGACCCGGGGGCAAGGCTGAACGCTGAAAAGTCTGGATGGCAGGTGATGAGGGTGGGGGAGACAGGGTGTGGCAATACCAGCATGCCCACTCTCAGAGGAATGTTCAACGACGTTAATGTTCAGTATAAAGGAACTGCCGATCTGGTTGGGTTTGCGAACGGTGATCTTGTTTTTGACGATGGCTTGCTAAATACAGTCAAAGCACTTGTTAAGCAAGAGAGTGATATATTGAAGACGCGGCCTGTGATGGTGTTGGGGAAAAGGACGAACGTGGACATGAAGGACAACGTCACTATCACCGACGTCAGCCAGGTGAAAGGTCACGCAACGCGTGGACGCTACCCCGGTGAGGGGTCTTCTGACTATTTCTTTACGAATCACTTGTTTCCCTGGGACCGGGTGCCAGAGATTGTAATTGGACGAATGGGATTCGGGATGTGGATTACGGCATATGCACGTGCGAATAACGTGACCCTATATGACCTCACGAAGACGGTGACTGCAGTTCACATGACCACAAAAGAAGGGATTTTTGAATCTGGTAAAAGTGTTAATACATGGTGTAACCATAAGTTGATAAATGCTAATCATTTGAAGCCAAAGAACTACGAGTGTGGTTGGATTGATTGTGCAAGAAGACGATCGATGTACACGGCCGACGGTGCTATTACCTTCACTGATGTTCAAAACAGTACTTTAATGAAAGGATGTCATCTGTGTGGATACAACTGAAAGTGATTCATTTGCGTCAGGGGAGTGGGGACAAAAAGTCCTTCAGGTTTGAAAGGCATATTTGTGACAGGTAGACGCCTTTATAAAGTGCTCATTTCAGCAATATTCAACACGTGACGTGACCACCTTTGATCTCAATGACCTTGCATAGATTTTCTATCGCACACGATCCCGTTCCTCAAAGCGGTCGTAGCGTTGAGGTGATCGTAACTCCGACACTTTAACATAGACTTACGACAATCGTAACGCTAAGGTGATCGTAACTGACATACGTTAACACAGACTTACGCAATCGTAACGCTATGGTGAACGTAACTCCGACACTTTAACATAGACTTACGACAATTGTAACGCTAAGGTGATCGTAACTCACATACGTTGACACAGACTTACGACAATCGTAACGCTGTGGTGAACGTAACTCCGACAATAGACTTAACGCTGTAAGGTGATCGTAACTCGTTGACACAGACGACACTTTAACATAGACTTACGACAATCGTAACGACACTAACATAGACTTACGATAATCGTAACGCTATGGTGATCGTAACTCACATACGTTGACACAGACTTACGACAATGGTAGCGGTCTCATACCAAATAAAAAACCAATGAGCGACTTGTTGACGTAGTGTCTTCTACTAGAAACATGTTGTAAAAAGCGCTGTTTGTCTGTTTGTATTTGTGTTGGGGGTTCGGGTTTGGGGTTATGCTGTAGACACTCCTCATAATCATTGTATTTGAGATTGTCAGATTATTTAGTTTTTTTCATTCGAGCTAAAAGGAATTGACCTGTATCATAAATGGTAACAATGTAATGTGTATGACGGATTGCTTGTTTTTAAATTTGGTGCTATGACTTTTTTGTTTGTAAATAATAATGCAATTGATAGATATGTATTTTAAGAATCTCTTTTAAACTTTGTACTTAAATGTATGTATGTATGCAGATTTGGTCTCGTTGCTATATGGCTGAAATAATGCAGATGCGATGTAAAACTAAACTAAACCCAACTCGAACTAAATGGAAGCCGACGCTAAGTTAAAAAAATAAAATTAATAATCACACTGAGATTAATACATAGGTTAATCGGTGAAGGGGGATTAGGTAAGTTAACGACAAACGGAATCGGGTGGTCAGGCTCTCTGACTTGTTGACACCTGTCATTGTATCCTAATTGCGTAGATTAATGCCTATGCTGTTGATCACTGGATTGTCTGGTCTAGACTCGATTAGTTACATACCGCCGCCATATAGCTGGAATATTACGGCGTTAAACATGACAATACTACCCATCAAAAGTTTAGACTCGCTAGTGTAGATGTAGCCACTTACTTCAGTCAACTGTTCTAAACTAGATTTAGCAAAATATTCCATACAATTTAAAGGTACTGTTTACACATGAACTGATGTATTGTAAACTTAGAAAAAAATTATAGTCATGAGTTCAATAAATGATGAAACTCAGTGAAAATTGGCGAATTCTTAACCGCCCCAAAAACATGCACGATATTGCTTTTCAGCAATTTGATGCATGATCCTCGAACAATTCATCTGCATAAAGTTTGCAGTTGGACCCCCCAAGTTAGTGGAGAAATTAATCTTCGATGTAACCATAGTAGTATGGTGACAGCACAATATCCGAGGTGACGTAACGTCACGCAACCTCGAAAATATGCTGCCACAAATGACGTCATACACGTATGACGTCACGACGATAGGTCTCGTGATGTCACGACTTACAACGATGGAAGTGACGTCACTGGTTGTGACGCAATCTCGAAAATATACTCCCACACTGACCTCATACACGTATGACGTCACGACGATAAGTATCATGACGTCACGACCTACAACGATGGTAGTGACGTCGTCATTGAACCGTCGCACAAAATTAAGGAGGTAAGCGTGTGACGTCACAAAAAGTGGCGATGGTCTGTGGTCATCGACTGTGTGTGTGCGTGTGCGTGCATGCGTACGCGTATTGTGTGTGTGTGTGTGTGAGACACCTCCTGACGAGATTCCTTTACCTAATCCGCACTCCCATAATCAGCGCCAACTAAATGCATACGTTATCAAAAAAATTGATACAGGTATATACAATATAAAATGCAATATATAATACAACATATATACAATCTGGTGATACATTTTACAAGATAAGAAGGCCTCTCCTGCTGCGCGCTCGGGTACGGCGAGTAGGTGTCTCGCCGTTCCTATGTACTTCGGCAGCCACCGTCACATTTATTGCATACTGGACGGTGGTTAGGAGAGGCCTCGTCGTCGTCGTCGTCGTCCCACGACAGTCGCTGGGCATATTCTGCCTCTTCATCGTCGTCAATTAAGAGTGGAAAGTGTACTGACGTCGGGCGGGCGGGCAAAGGGGAGGTGCTGTCATCAGATGAGAGGGAGTACGTACCCATCAGTAGAGGTCCTTGGGGGCTGAGGGCTCCATCTTCTCCGTCTTCCTCCTCTGCTGGTGGTATACTCCTCAGAATGGGGGTACCCACCCCCAAGGTCCCACCCCTTTCACCCTCACCCGTACTACGGGACAGTCCGGTAATGTTTCTGTATTGCATGCTGGACATAACAACGAGGTTATCAAGGAAGAAAATGGACAGTATGACTACTCGCCGCAACTAGTATTTTTCCTCAGAGGACTTCGTCGGATGGACAGTCAGAGAAAATAGGGTGTCGAACATTGTGTACCTCTTCAGGTTTTTACAACAATTTCTGGAGAGAGTGCAGGTCAGCGCGGACATGGACGACAATCTGTCATGCTGGTTCGACTCCCTCGTGGCTCATCTGGGTAACTCAGAAAGTAAGTGCGTAAAAACAACGTAAGCTCTATACATTTACAGTGTAGTAACTAATAAGTCTTAACATTGTGCGTCTTTTCAAAGCTAACGTAAGCGCATTCTTACAGTCGTTATATTTTTCCATACATCTTTTCGCAGATATACGCCCCGAGGATATCGTTACCCTATATGTTCATCACGACGCCCTCAACGCCCCCGTCGCCATACCGTTCGTCAGATTTTAAGAGCTCATGGGTGACATCATATTGCGGGCTATGGAACACGCTGCCCAGTCTAACACATATTTTACGTTAGACAGTACCATGACCGTAAGGTTACACGTAGTGAGGAATCCCGCCGCTGTTGGTAGAGGTAATGGATGTTTGACAAAGAAAGAGCTAATCACGCTGGAGGCTTTTACCAACCGTAAAACCAATAGGGGTGGTTGTATTACTAAAATAGAGAACAGCGACAATTTATGTCTAGGTCGGGCTATTGCTGTAGCCCTCTATTTTCTAAAGTATACTTCGCTACCACGGGACGTGTCCAAGAAGGAATACAGACGGCGATACACAGAGCGTGAAGCATTCCTGAGGGATGCGCGGGGTGTACAAACGATAGCTACACAAGAATTGTACAGGCGAGCGGGTCTCCGCCCGGGAGCATGTATGGATGGTCGTCTCGTGTGGGAGGCCTTCCAAACATGTTTAAGGGATGAGGCGCGCTTGCACGTACACACCATTACACCCGGTAATGGTGCTTCTATCCTGTATGCTCCGCATACTCCTCTTGGCACGTCCGGACACATCCCCTGCATCGATATTTTCTGGTGGCCTGCTAACACTCCCAGAGGTGGACCGCATGGTCACTATGACTGCATCAATACAGTAGCGGGTCTGTACGGAAATAGTAAATATTGCAGGGTGTGTCATAGAGGGTACAGGTCGGACAATACTCATGCATGTACGCGTGTGGGAAATGCGGGCGTAAGGGTAAAAGCTGTCTGAACGATTTTCGACGACAGAGGCAGCAGCAGCGCCATAGCGCGGTACCCGGTAGTGGTGATGGTGACGTCAGCAAACCACTGCTGTTCGGTCAACCTTGTCGAGAGTGTCAGGTGTGGTTTCCTACGAGGGACTGTCACGTGGCTCATATCGCCATACACGACCGTACCATGTATTGTTTAGGTCTTTTACGAGAACATCCGGAAGTGTCTGCCATACATGTGGTATGGGAGTGTCATTACAGAGCCAGTAGACCCAGGGAAGACGCTTTCTCGACGAGGCTGTCGCGCCTCTCCAACCTCGGGACGCATTTTACGTGGGTCGCACTAATGGCATTCATTTGCACAAAAAGTGTGTTGAGGGAGAGAAAATATGGTACGCATGCTCGCTATACCCGTACATGTGTAAAACGGGTCGCTTCCCTGTATTTCACCCCCGTGTTTTACACAACCCCTCTCTAGACGAGCTGTTCGAATTGGATGGGCTCGTCAAATGCGACATTCTTCCCCCTCGGCGGCTCTATCATCCTCTCCTACTATACCGCGTTAACGGGAAGCTTTACTTCCCTCTTTGCCGAACGTATGCCGAAACGCATGCCAGCAACGCGTGTCAGCATACCGACGATCAGAGGTCATGGGTGGGTACGTACACCACTGTGGAAGTACAGAAAGCGGTTCGAGAACTGGTTATCTGGTCATGTTATGTTTCTCCGCATGGCACTTTTCCCGGTTTGAGGTTTACGACAGAGCAGCCGGTGCCTCGGGGTTGTTCGCCAAATACGTAGACAACTTCTACAAACTGAAACAGGAAGCCAGCGGCTATCCTGGGGAGTGTAAGACGGAGAATAGTAAGATTCGTTTCGTCGAGAGAGTTTTCCAAAAGGAAGGCCTGGACCCCATCAATATTAAAAAAAACAAGGGTATGCGCACCATAGCCAAGTTTATGATGAACAGTCATTGGGGCAAATGTGGTCAGTCTAATGACAAGACCCTGTGCCAGTACATCACAAACGAGCGAGATTTCTACGACTTCTTTCACGACAAGACCATAGAACTGAAAGATGTCGTTTTGATTAGTCCCGACACTCTACTCGTCACCTATTCCCCCACCGAAACACACCGAATACCTCATACTGCCAGCAATCCCGTCATAGCTGCGTGGGTAACTGCACAAGCACGTATGAAACTGTATGAGGCCTTGGAGGCCCTAGGCGAAAAC